CTCAATAGGATATCGTAATACAAAGTTATGATATAAACACTGAAAAATGGTGCAGCTGTCTGTTTAAAATAAGAAATTCCGTTACATAATCCGTTAGAACAACAAATTCAGTTAATTTTTCCGTTAAAAACAAGAAATTCCGTTACATAGCCACTTTTAGTATATAGAAGATATAAAATTTAAAAAAGGTTTAAGATTTAAAATTTAACATTGATTTCTTAAATTTGAAATTGGTAAAATTTTGAGGGTGTTTGATGTAAATTAAAATCAGATTTTAAGTGAATTGTGATATAAATTTTTGAAATATGTGGTTAAAAAGATGTGTGATCCATGAAAGATGTGGTTGATATTGATTGTTTGATTTTGATTTAAATTAAAATCAGATTAAAATTTGGTCCAAACAGACCCTTAACCTCTTAGTTACGAAATCTGCTATAACCTAAGCCCCCGTTTGGTCCCCATTAAATTACATAACATTACATTAAATTTTTTTTTCTCTTCATTATAACCATACATTCATCAAATAAAATAATATTATACACAAATTTAAAACTTTTCATTATTTCTCTACCACACATTCTTCCATCGATCACTATTCCAAAAATTTTTAACTATAAAAAATACAAAAAATGTGAGCCAAACAGGGGCTAACTAGATTTATTTGGATTGGGTTGGATGGGTTGAGCTGTTTGAGATGAGTGTTGGCTGGCCAGCTCTACCAAAGAGTTTCTGAAAGATTCCTGACGTCCGTTAACTCTCCGTTACAAATCTTAAGTTCAAAAACCTCTCGTTACTTCTCCACGTTGTTTATCAGTCCTAAATAGAAATAAAATAGAAAAAGAAGCCAATTTCTCGTTTTGCTTTCTCGCAAGTACCATAAATCCTTCTAACATCTCTCCCTTTAATTTGATCAATTTGTCACCGGTCACAGTTTACAGTTCATTATCGTTTGCGGATTTCTTTAAAATCTTTACAGCGGAGCTGATTCAGTGTTTGTAGAGTATTAATTGGAAGCATTTCGGTGGTGATTATGATAATCAAATCTTGCACTCAAAGCTAGGATCTTTAATGGCTATGAGAGGCGTTGATTTCAAATGGTCAGTTTTTAAATTTCCCCCTTGTAAAATCATGGTTTAAAGAATTTCAGGTATACTTAGATTTATAAAAAAAATTGGGATGTATATGTGAAGGGTTTTAATTTCTTAGCCTATAGATATGAGTTTAAACATGGGTTATTGCAGGTATGATGGGTTCTTCTTGTCAATGCTTGCTACAAGTATGTATCCTTTTAATGAATGTTCAATTACGGCAAGATTTCATTTCTTGAGTAATTGTTTTATTCTGGGTGCTAGTTTTATCTTTCACAATTATTTTTCATTTTTTAAAATTCAAGTTCTTGAGAAGTTGGATGATAGCTTTACTAATGGTGTAATAGAATGTTTAGGATTTCATGTTTCTGAAAATGGGTTTATGAATGATAAATTTGATGAATCAGAGTATGTTTGGCTCCCATTTTTCCAAAAATTCATTTTTTTCAAAATTCATTTTAAACCACACATTCTCCATGTGAATCGAAAACTTTTCTTTACTTTTTAGTCACATGTTCTCCAACAAAACACCATTCTAAAATAAATTTTGGCAAAAAAAAAGGGGCTCAAACAAGGACTCATTTAGATATTAAAATGTACTTCTAAGTTGTAGTTTTGTTATTTGTTGTAAGAAGGGACTTGTATAGTTTTCTTTAACTTAATGATTATTAGAATTATTGTGGCACTCAACTGGAGGAGATACCATCTCTGTGCATACCCATTGCACATATGGATTGTGGTATGTATTGTGAAGCTTTTGAAGAAATGAATAATACGATATTTCGTTGACAATTTCTGATTTATGGTGTTATTTGTTTATTGCTTTAATTAGGTCGACTACACTACAGTGTTTGTTTTCCGGCTCTTGATGTTTGTGGACAATGGACTGGCTGCTGGAATGGGATTGTAAGGCCTCACTTTTATCGAGACGTTGGTGTTATTGTTATATTCGAATTATGTAGCCAAACTAATACTGCTGTCACTCACACAACCGAGTCTACAATGATCCATATAATTATTTTATTTTCTTATTTTCTGCCGACATTTTAGGAGTGAGACATAATGGATACTAGTTGTACCTAGTGTAGGCTATTGCATTCAAAAAATTATCTGGACATTGTTGGGAAATCATCTGGGGTCTGCACACACTGATTTTAACCTGCCATAGATAGATTTGAGTGCATGATTGGTGCACAATATTGGACATTATAATGAACATGATTAAATTTTTTATTTTTCGTTTTAGTTTTCCAATACTACTCAATCCCACTATAATTGATTTAAATCAAGCTTTATGTTAATTTGCTGGTATTTTAAAGTAACTAATTCGAGTCCCCTCATAGCCACTGAGGTGAGTACCCGACATAAACCTCAGGGTCTCGTGGTATTAGTTGAAGTGCGCGAAAGCTGGCTTGGACACCTACGGTTATAAAAAAAAAACGTAAACATGTAACACACTTTTTATGACATTGGAAATTTTAGTGCTTCAATCTTCTCTCACAGTTATATTCTCTCAGCTTGTTACTTTTCCAGATATAACAGCCAGCTAATTTATTTTTCAATACTTGGTCTTAGGGATTTTGGTTGGCAACAAAGATATGCTCGCTTCTGTGGAAGGATAGTCGTATTGTCCATTCTAGTTGTACTCCTTTACCCATTCCTTTGGGCCTGGACCATTATTGGTACACTATGGTTCACTAGAGCAAGAAGCTGTGTAAGTTTTTTGCTTTCTTCTCATAAATGAGCTATTACATAATGCATTATGTATTGCAAGCTCGGAATGGAGATAACAAGTGATAATTTTCTCAGTTGCCAGAAGAAGGCCAGAAATGGGGTTTCCTTATTTGGTTACTTTTCAGCTATTGTGGACTCATATGCATTGCTTGCTTTTCTATTGGAAAGGTAAGTTGTGGTTCTCTCTCAAATCTTCTTCCTTCCAATAATACAGTTATCAGTTCTGCTTTTCCGTTCATTTTTTCAAGAATAGTTTACCAGGACATGAGCATCCTCTCCCATCCCCAGCCAAAAAAAGGCAAGGAAATGAATAAGCAAAAAAAAGATCCTTCTCCCACAGCTTCCATTCTTCTCATTTTTCCACCCGGGTGGGTGAGGGGGTGTGTCAATGCCCTGTATGGTGTTTTATGTGATGATGCCTTTATGTGTTTGTGTATTACACTATTTCCTTAATCACAACTCTGTCGATTTTAGCTTGTTTACCCTTCCTTTGTAGTGGCTAACAAGAAGACAAGCACATCAATTGCGTGCACAGCAAGGAATCCCTATTTCAGAATATGGGGTAAGCTTTAAGAACTATTCATCAACTAGTAGACTGTATATACACATTAGGTTTGTTACCTGATGCTTTAAAAATATTAATCTCGCAATTGATATTTGAATCTTGCCATTGAGGATTTCCACACGTTAAGCAATCTAAATATTACCTTTCAAAAAAAAAAAAAAAAGAAATCTAAATATTAATCTTGCAATTAATTGTGAAATATTGTCATTGAGGATTTTCCACATGTTGAGTTGATGCCAAAAGAAGTTCTACTTGTTAAGGTGATTCCCAAAGTGTCCCTTACATAACAGGGTAACCTTGAATGATGTTGCTGGATGCTCTATAAGGTGTTAAAATAAGAATGTCAGATAATCAAAGTGGCCAATAGGGTACGCTTGTTTGGTTGCGAACAACTTGCCTTTTGCTAGTGGAAATTGTCAGGCTGTGTTCTATTATTGGCCAGACTAGGTAATAAACTATGATGTTTACCCTCTCTAAATCTTCTATGGCATCAGAGGTTAGATAATGCACTGAATATGTAAATACATGTCAAACAATCCTTGACTTCAGGCTTCAGATATACGGGAGTAATTAAATCAGTCGAGTCAAACTTTTATTAGTGGATATTAGTTTCAATCAAAAGCTCATATTTATTGACACTTTTGTAAGAATGATGACTGCTCAACTATATTATCCATTTCCATTTCTTTAAAAGCTTTATCGAATGATTTTGTTTCTGTGTGACGTACTGAAAGAATACTTCTTATTTCAGGTTTTGGTGGACATGATTAGAGTGCCAGATTGGGCTTTTGAAGCTGCTGGCCAAGAAATGAGAGGGATGGGGCAAGACACTGCTGCCTACCAGCCAGGACTTTACTTGACAGCAGCACAGGTAAAACGCAATTTACTTTGGACTATTGTTGGTTCTTAATTTATTTTCTTGTGTAATCTTGGTAATTTCCTGATGCTCAGTAGTCCTTAAAATATACAATTTACCAACTTTGGGTGATTAAAACATTTGAACTGATTTTGCAAGAGGTGATAATAGAAAATTGTCTGGAACTGAAGTTTAAGTTCTGTGTGATTTTGCTTGGAGGAAGTTGCTATTTCAATTAAAATCCTTCTAGAACTTATGAAGCATTTAGCACTTTTTTCCCACTTTTGCCTAAAGTCAAATCCTGTTCTTCCACATGCATTACTCTTATATCCTCTCATTTCAGAATCATTGTGCTTGACCTCCACTTGTACGATTGTTTCTTGCTCTCATTTGAATTAGCGGGAGTTGTTTTTCATGCAGAGAGAAGCAGTGGAGGCTCTAATTCAAGAACTTCCAAAGTTCACACTGAAGACTGTTCCTATCGATTGCAGTGAGTGTCCAATCTGTTTGGAAGAGTTTCGCACAGGAAATGAGGTAAATATCTTCGTTGATCTGTTTATAACAAAACTATTAACAAGTCAAAGGTTGAAGTCCGAACTGATATATTTAAGGAACTTATAAAATGCTAGACGAAAGAGCACACGCCTCAGCCATCTTGAGGCATAAGCCTTGACAGTAGTACTTGATGTGTTAAATGCGTGGCTCGCCTCAAGGTGTAAGCCTCGTACAACATTGTTTACCATACGTGATTGTCAACCTCATACAAGTATTCCTATTGGGCTTGCAATATTTTGCTCGCCCAAGAATGAACGTAAGGAAGATGGCTTTGTGTTGGGTTCCTTCCTCCACTAGACTAGACCACGTACTACAGAAAGGCCTAATTGTTCCACCCCTTACATTGTGTGTCGTTCCCCACCTATTTGCTTTGCTAGCCTCCCATTTAACCTCACAGCAGAAGTGCCAAGACAAAGCATACAGATGTACTCAAGAAGGAGAAAAGGAAGATTATGTTCAAAAAGCTTTGAAAGTTTGAGTCGTCATACAATTAGACCTGCTATTAACAATGCATTATCTATTAGTCACATTGAGTCTGCCGTTCGGTTGACTGCTGTAGAACAACTCAGAGAGTGCTAAAAATGGGAGGTAAATTAGTTTATTTAGATAGTAAATGTATCAAGGTCCTCATTCACCTTCAAGGTAGATAATTAAATAATTAATAAACTCTACAAGATGACAAACTTTTAAGCATAACATACAGAAGTGAGTGGAGTGAGCAAGATCTTAATATTTCAGACCCATATTTGTTTGCCTTTTTATTACTTATCCCCCTGTAGGTGCAAGGGGGAAGATAAAGAAATTTATAAAGCTTTTTTTTTTTCCTTGAATTTGAGGCACTGGTACTTAGCAATAGACCTCACTTGACTTGATGCAGGTTCGTGGTCTTCCATGTGCTCATAATTTCCATGTAGAGTGCATTGATGAGTGGCTTCGGCTGAATGTAAAATGCCCTAGATGTCGTTGTTCTGTCTTTCCAAACCTCGACTTAAGTGCCTTATCCAATATCCGTGCTGATTCAGAGCGGCCATCGTCGAATGTACTGACAACAACTCCATATGTGAGAACTCAACCTCCTAGCCAGAGCTATCTATTGAGATTACAGGGATTACTCCGTCCAGTTCATGCAGAGAATACCGGGACTGTCAGTGAAGCAGATGGTGTGGAAAGAACTGAAAACGGAAGCCTACCTCTTGCAACTCCTGGTCGAGCAACTACTGAGCCTGTACAAGTGGTGGTTGAACAGTCGACCACCCCTCGACCTTGACCTGATTCTTTTGATAGTTTAAAAAGGTTCTAATCTCTAACCCCTCCACCTTGGAGAAAGTAGTTTGAATTTTGTTTGCCTCGGGCCTCTTTGTAGTTTGTAGTCTCTCTCGTTAATCCAATTTGTAATGAATACGCATTGTCTGTCCATCCTTTTATAATTCAGGGAAAATTGCATATTTGATACCCAACCTATTATCCGATTAGCAATTTGATCCTTATCCTTTAGAAAGGAGCACATTGGTCCTCAAACTTCACGCTAAATTGTACATATTTTCTTTATATTGTCATGTGGTGCTCAGGAAATCATGCCTTGCTTCAAATTTTTGGCACTTCCTCAAGTTGATAGAAAAAAAAACTTCCATAAAGTTAGACGAATGAGCTACATGACGAATGATGTAACATAGATTTTGATAGGGTTGGCGATGATGCATTGTGCAACTTTAATAAAAGTTTGATTAATTAATACATATTTAAGTGTTTTTTAAAGCAAAAATTAACAAAAAGTAAATTTAGCTTACTTTTAAACCTTGCCAGACTTGCTTTTAAATTTATTTTACTGGAACTTATACCATCCATATAAGTTAATAAAAAAGAATTTCACAAAAATATACATAACAAAGAGGTATAAAGCACATAAAGCAAGAAATTTGTGTGGACATCCAGAAAGTTATTCTAGTCACTTTTACTATTGTCATTCACACTTTTTATAATTTTCTTCATCTTTTTGTTGGCTAAGAAATGGTACATTTGCCCATCTTTAGACTTTAGAGTAATAATTGGGAATGAAGAAATTAATGTTGCAAAGGTTATCCTAAATACTTCTTGGTTTGACAGTGACTTGAAATAGAGTTTAATATAAGGCTGCTTTTTTTGTAACTCAAAAGATAGTATGGAATAAAAAAAGTCGACGATGCGGTAAAATATAGAGGAAAGCTGCTATATGGCCAGGGCCACATGCAGGTTAGAGTGGATAGATGAGATATCACATCACTTAAATGAAATAAACAAATATTTATAGTTCTTATTTGGTAGAAATTAAAATTTAGATTTTAGTTTAACTTAAAATTTTAACCAGGATTTATAACTTTTTAATTAAATGTTTTATCAATTTTATTAAAATTTATCGAATATCTGATTTTAATCCCCAGACCAAAGAAGAATGTGTTAAACAAATAAATAGTATAAGGCTTTCAAAAAAAATAATGAGTAATATAACTGCATGACACAGACCAGTATGAGACTTAATTAAAGAGATATTGCACCATTGGTTTCCAACTTATTCGAGTGGCAGAAAAAGTTCCAACCTTTATAAATATGCACAACAATCTACAATATTTCATGATAATTACAAAATAGTCTCAATTACTTCAAATCGTCGAGTGATCATCTCTCGAACTAATACATGAGTGTTTACGATCCATTTTCCGTTCAAAATTCTCATAATGAAATACTTGCGTAGTCTTAGCCTAGCACCTTTTAAATTCATTTTATCGTTGTAATTGAAGATCCGTACGATCAAAAGAATAATCCGATCAAGAAAAGCAAGTGATCTTTGAAGTTGAATTATCCAAGATTCGATAAGAAAAAGACCAATTTGCCGATTGAATCGATTATATTAGCCCCTGTTTGGTGCACATTTTTGTTCCAATGCTGCATTTTTTTGGTTGATGTAATGGGGAATATGTGGTTGAAAAAGACGGAAATGTTATTGATGTAACGTAAAATATTATTTTATTGAAAAATATGTGGTTCAAAATGAGTAAAAGAATAAAAATGAAAAAAAATAATGTGACCGAAACATTGGCTAAAACTAATTTTTGTTACTATTTCTCATCTCAAACCTATGTTTGAAAATTTTGAATATCAGATATTTGAAAACGTCGATGAATGTAAGCCCGCTGTACACTTCACTTTCACTTTTCTTTTCTTCTTTGTACCAAAATTCCTTAATCAAAAGCTATGAGTCCCCTTTTTCTTTACGGGAATCTTTCTTCTCAATAAAAGAGCACACAGCATATTTTTCAGGAGGAATTTCTATGGAAAATCCAGACTCCATTACTCACAAGAAAACTCTGAGGAGAAGCAGTAATAGTCACGTATCAATGTCGGATACCGAGTCACAAGCAAGTCAAGTTGACTCGTTTCACTCCCCCCTCCGATCAGACTCTCCTTTCCATTCCGACGATCCATTTTTCTACCCAGAAAATGATGCTAACAACAAAAATGGTAATAATTGTAAAGAATCATTGTCTAATTGTAAAGCCCTCGTTCCCGTTGATAACTACTACACCCCTTTACCATCTCCGGGCCAATCCAATATTCCGTCTAGTTTTCCGGCCAACGGAGGAAGATGTACGCAGCCCGAACAAAATCCCACATCGGAAAATGTTGCTTTCCGGGCAAGTTCTCCGGCCACCGGAGGCAAGGTCCGGAGATCCTTTTCGCCGTCCATGACGGATAATTATGAGTTTTCTGGGAAGGGCGGACGGGGGGCAACGTCAGTCGTGGCATTCAACCGGTCGGGAAGGGAGGAGCCGCTGACAAAAATGGGGCCGGTGGATGGTGGTGGAGACGATGAGGTGGGGGGAGAGAGGCGGTCACGTGAAGCGGTGGCATCGATATTGAAGCGATCGAAATGGGAGATGATGGTGAAGAAGGCAACTTTGGGGTTCAGAGTCTGTGAAGCGATAGTGTGTTTGATTTCATTTTCTGTTATGGCTGCTGATAGAACTCGAGGTTGGAGTGGTGATTCATTTGATCGCTACAAAGAGTACAGGTTATTCTTATGCTTTTGCTGCATATTTCTCTTTAAATTGCTTGCATGTGTGAATTGTGATGTGGTCGAAAAATGTGCATTGCGAATGTCCAGCACACGAGGTTGATTCTCAGGCTCCTTAAACCTTACCTGCAAAAGGGCAGTAGAGAAGTTCTCAATTCTCAGGCTCCATGTTAGAGAGCATGTTTGGATGTGCGTAGAATTTACTTTCTAAAAAAGCAAGTTTTATTAGTAAGAGAAGAGTAATTTGAAGTAAAGTTTGATAAAATAATTATCTGGAAAGTAAGAATGACTTCCTTCTAAGCTCATCAAATCATGTTCCAAGTAAGCTGAGAGGTCTAGGAGAGGATAACTTTAAATGTAGTTTAGTTTTGCTTTCGTACCTTATGCAAGTGAGGTCGGAGGTATCGTATAGGCAATAGGAATGAAGATTTTGGGAACGGAGTTAACTAATGAAGCATTTGAGTGATTTAAGTGAGATCCACGAACCATGATCTTTGGGAATAATTGCTGCTGTGCTATCAAACCAGGCGTGATTGAAGTTTCATCATTAGGCTTGGGATTGGTGCATATTGTGAATAATCAATCTGTAATGTATTTCATGCGGTTGAATTTTCTTCCTTAATATTGATGTGTTTACTGATATATGGTTTAATCAAGTAAATTAGCAATTGCAAGTTGCAAATTTGGATAAAACATTTTGTCGCAATTATTATGAAAGAATCCTTGGTTGGTGAAACAACATAACTTAGTATATGAATGAAAGTTTTAAATTAGTCGATTTATTTAGACCCAACGCGCGGAATTACACAATTAAAAGCAACAAGTCACTTTTTAATTATCTCTAGATGGTTAATCAATCACGTAAATTTCTTCTATGTTGAATTACCACAATTTGTAATATGAAAGTAAATAAGAACACCAAAATTGATCACGGAGATACCCCAACTGGGTAAAAATTCCATGCTATTTGTCGGTCAGTGATCCACTATAAATCGAAGCATACTTACGGTCCAGACCCATTTATTTCGTAAAACTTTCGATCTCAATTCCTGCGGTCTCCTTTGACCCTACTGGAGGTATGCTCCTTCAAAGCAAATCCTGACTCCTGGTTTATACATTAACCCTTCTGGACTGCATGCTCATGACGCGAGATCCCGACTCCTGGTGTCTCATCTTAGTCCTCTTGAATTTGTGTTCCTGCAACAGTTCTTTATCCCTAGTATCGATTTATCTCCGACGGATTAGGTGATTTGATGTTTGATTAAAAGATCTTCTGTGCTTTGATCTTGTGGTTTTATACGAAATAATATGGCTTGATCAACAAAATATGATTTGGAAGAATTTATAAATCAAGTAATATATGACGGTTGAATTTTGGAATCAATGAATGTTTTGGATCATTAAATAATTGATCTCTATGGAATAAATTTGATTCAACACATTTTTTTTCATCTCATAAGGTGTATATTTATGATGAGTAGTGTTTGAGATGAAAAAAAACTCAAAATCAGCTTGAAAATAGAATTTTACTATTCCTCGGATAACCTCGTCGCTCGAGCACTAAGCCAGCGACAGACAAGCAGCAACTAAGCAGTAGTCAATATTTTTTGCATAACTTTATCTCCCGATGTCCGATTGAGGTGATTCAAAATGTGTTGGAAAGCTAACTCAAAGGTTACAATTCTTCTAGAAATAGCTTTCTCCAAATTCCAATATTTTATATGTGAAAAATGCGTTGCAAGTTGTGACTGAGAATTTTGAGCTCGTGCGGCTCTTTGATACTCTTTAGACTTCTAATTGTATTCTCTTGATCATGTGTGATCTTATTGGACATCTTTGACATATTGGACTCCTTTGAGACCTATTTTACTAATTGTTAACTATTTTGACTTTAATTAAAACTTAATAAACTCCAAATACAATTCGACTAATACGTGATTTTGAGTAAGGAAATTGTCAATTACAAATTTAAAAATTGCCAATTATAATTTGGACTTAACAATGAAAACTTGCATATCTTTGTATGAAAATTTCACATTTGGTCTTCAGCCAGTAACCATGATGACAATAAGAATCCAATAAAAATTGATGCTCTGATGTGTTCTTTAAAAATCACTATTCAAAACTCATTTTTTCTACAATAATGGTTGTCAAACAGGCTCTTATGATGATCTGATGTGTTCTTTGAGCAGTTCTATCCAAGATGTATATGTAACTGGAGTTTGTCCATTTGATCAGTAAATGTATTCTAACAATTTTTTTCGTTTTTCATTTTTAAGAAACAATCAATTGATGCTATCAGATGTTTTTAGATTTTCCACTCGATACAGATATTTTTTCCCAAATAAATCTAGCATTAACATCCTTGTATTAAGATTGCCAGAATGAAACGTTTTTCCTGATTCCTTTTTGTTTTCTTGAGCTAGCATTGGACTTACCTCAATTAAATCTATGTCCTACTTGTTGTCTATTAAGAGGGTGTATGGTTAAGCTTAAAAGGTGTACTTACAAGAAAGTTACTAAATAAATAAGTTTTAAAATAAGTAATAGGTTTGATTGGTGAAAATAAGTTACTTATGTTGACATGAAAGTAAATATTACTCCGAAAAGTAATTTTTTTTTACTTAAAAGCTGTGTTCATTAATCTTCATAATTTTTTCTCACATCATATACCTTAGATCCGATATCGACAGTTGTGAACCGTCAAGATAGACATTGTAATATATTTGAACATGTTATTTAAAAATAAATTTATTTTTTCTTGAAGCTTAATAAAACATGTTTTGAGTATAATTATTTCTTCACATAGTCAATGCATTGTCTTGTTAAACAGGTATTGTGTAGCCATGAATGTTATTGGATTTGGATATTCGGGATTTCAAGCATATGATCTTACCTACCATTTGGTATCAGGGAAACATGTCATCTCTCACTATCTACGTTACCATTTTGATTTCTCAATGGATCAGGTAAGCATTTTCTTTCATGTTCTTTCAGCCTATGCAAACTTCTCTCATATTGTACTTTCTAGGAATGAAAAAACATGCGTCTAGTCATTTATTTTAGATTTTGGTAGTGTTCGGTGGCCTCTGAACAGGTTTGTAGTGCACTCTAAAATGCAGGGTTATGTCATCATTTTTATTGACAGTTGATCACTTTTCTTAGAACTAGTTGTTGAACCGAATGCTTTTAAAGCTCAAGTTCCTAGAGAGTTACTGTTTTTAACTAAAGTTTTTAAAACACCCCTCACGTGCATGTCAAATTCGATTTTAATATTACGCATGACACGTGCCCAATTTTCAAAAATAGGTTACACCAAGAGAAGGAAATTCTGTATTTAAGGCGACCCTTATATGCAAAATATATTCATTTTTTTTGTCAAAGACGTCACTGTCACAAACACAATATCCATGTAGTAGTAACGGCAGGACCTATAATTCAACAATGGTACACTGTAACGCTCCAAACTAGACAAGACTAGACATTATAAAGAATTGGATTTTTAGTTTCTTTTTAGATACTCTGCTTTACCAAACAAGCCACTATAGCTTATAGTCCAGTTCCTTGGAAACGCTCAGAGAAACATTACATTTCTCGTCTGACAGATTCTAGCATATCTTATAATGTCGGCATCATCTTCAGCAGCAACGAGGGTGGACGGATGGATATCTACATGGGGGAAAGACGAATTCACGATGAGGGCAAGTGCATCCATTGCGTTGTCTTTTCTTGCTTTTATTATCTTTGCCTTGAGCTCTCTTGTATCTGGTTACAACCTCTGCAACCGAGCAGCAATTTAATCTCTTCATCTCCAGTCAATATTATTTTCCTTTCAATAATTCCTGAGAATTTTTGGCGTCGAAATACGACTACTGATAGTTTCTTAAGTTGTACAGACATAGTGGTAGATTAACACCATTTTTTTCTTGTGGTTACCGTTGGAGTGCAGTTTGTTATACATTGGTATTATTTGGATAGATAAATTATATATTGTTCCTCTGAATTTAGCAAAGATATGGTATAAGTTTGGACCGTCCTACACCCAGACCACCAAGCTTGTAAAACACGTGGCCCAGCCAGTCACAGAATGGGCCGTGCCGCTCCCAGTCTGACTGCAGGGTATGTGGCCCATCTAGGCAGTGCTAAGTAATCGAGTAGGCCATTAATGAAGACAAGAATAAGTCGAAATGAATAATTCTTTTTATCAGTAGTAGTGATGAAAAGCTATGTTGGAAACAAATAATCTAATTGTACATTGTTGGTTGACAATGCTGTAGGTGGCAAAAAACTATTGATTCAAAGGATAAATTTTTTTAAACTGTCCAATGACAACATAACCACATGGCACGTTGTTAACAAACATTGTACACCAAGCATGATTCGGTGGGAAATGACTAAAGGAAAAGAATAAACACTGTTACTTCACAACAGAAACAAAATGGTATCTGTCAAATGACTGAAGGATTTAAAGCCAAATAGCATTATCAAAAGATGATGCCCGGAACCAGCAAATGACTTGAACTAAATAGAAGTACAGTCAAGAACCCAATTAGTGTGAATTACACGGTTCATAAAATTCGATGAGGCACCTTCAAAACTTATTTCACTTATCAACCGAAGTCTTTCTCTTCCGATCAGGCGTGGAGGAATCCTGTGTTTGAGCCTGACCAAAGATTGACCTGTATTTCAAGACAATCAAAAGTAAAACTCCAATGATTTTATGTAAAATATAAGCTCTTTGCACTTTCCCTCTTTTATCAACAAAAACGCGGGTAAGAGCAGATATGCTCTTCGCACTCTCTCTAATTCCATCCTAATGAGGTATGTTATACTCGTAACTAAGATTCAAATTGAGAAAACCCAAATCGGTACAAGTATTTGAGGTTTCCTTAAAATACATAAAACATAAAAACCACACCAGATATGCTTGATGATTTGATCTAAATTCTAAAATCAGTTTGAATGGAGTAATCAAGAAAATATATTCTCTCTGAAGAAAAGAGAGCATAAAGCACAATTTTTCAATTTCTTTTCATGGCCATACTTCCAGTAAACTGGAGATACCACTCTGCTCTTTGGCTGCTATGATAAGATATTAAGATGTATATTAAATTTTTGTTATTTATTCTATGAAAAAAGTAAATAATTTTCATGAAAAAGTCTGTTTTTCGTTATTTTGAGGTAACTCTCCAACGTATCAGATAAATCGAGATTTTTTGGCGGTACTTGTGCATCTCGTTTTTGTGAGTTGTGTAAACCAGTAAATTTTGCAAGGTAACACCAGTATTTTAAACCATGGCATAATGGAATGCAACAAAACATGAAATGGAATTAGTAACCGATACTGAAACCAATATGTAATGCAACAAAACACGAAATGGAATTAGTAAGAGAAACTGGAGCTCACCCGCAGGTTGAACATTTCTTGTGATGCTTGCAGAATATCGACAAACACACAGAACATATGAAGCCCATGTCAATTGTGTTCTTGTGGCAAAAGCACCTGCAGATTTTACAGTATCAACAATCAACAATGTAAATGAAACAATAACCTTAAGAATTTTTTTTCTTCGCTCGATAATACAAGAATCCAATTCATGGTTGCAGCTTAAAATAAAAGCATAGCTGTCCTTAAGTAAGTCAACAAACACAGTGTAATAGACAGAGCACGACAATCAGTGATCTGAAAATTCAACCATGCACCACAATACATGATAAATAAATGACCAAATCAAACTAAAATGCCAGAATTAATAATCATCACTTTAAGAGGTTTTTAACTACATTGATACTTTGTGTTGGACCAAATATTATTCTGATTGGTGTACAAAAAAGAAAAAAGATGTAAAAATAAATAAAAAGAAGGCAGTGCAGGAGTAGCAGCTAACATTATCAGGTTTTAGAAAACAATGGATAATATATAAAGATAAAAATTATATGTAGCTAAGAATATTTGGGGGAACATCAATAATTATAATGCACAGGTTCTGGAAGCGACTTACGATGCACGAAAATCCACTCCCACAGGCTTAGGAAGTTGTAAAAAGCTGCGAGAATGCAAATCTGTTGTAAACACTGTCTGCATGTGACAAATAATCATAATTAAATACCAGATAGTGTTACAGGGGAAGGGGAGCTTCAGCATGCGAAATTTGACTGTTTTCTTGCATCACAAATATTGATTCTTCCCATTATTTTATTGTTTGTTCTCCTTTAAATCCCCTATCACTTAAAGCCACCTTGTGAGCCAAGAACAGAAAATTTGATGACACAAAAAATGAGGAGATTCTTCCTATATTATATCCACAGCATCTTAACCAACGATAAGACAGCAACTAATTCAATAAAACAGGAAACTAATTATGAAAGCAGGATCATTACTAACTCCAAGCATAACTGTGGAATGCTGGTCAAATCAAAGTGAAGAATGATCATTATCACTAGAGAAGGTAAATTCCAACTTTAAAATACGTGCAAGTCCACAAATTATTTACTGTCAGCAAAATCCCCATTGAAACAAAATAAAATAAGAAGATTATTGGTAGTTGGTACCAATGCAAAACAACATGGTTTCTAATAAAATATAAAGGTTACTGGTACAGAAACCACAAGTGTCCATGAAAGCCATGTTCAAACAAAGTGAGACTACGGATGGAAGAAGGATTTCTTGAAAAGAACTAGAGCTCTTGGACATTCTATTTCTGTAATGCTTATGAGTTATGACTAATTTAAGTGGGATGTGAATTTAGCCATTATTACCTTTCCTGGCTTCTATACTGAACTAGAGCTCTCCTTGTCACTTTATTTCGATCGGTGCACTTAAGTGCATGTTTGACAAAGCTTATAACAGTTTATGAATTGGCCAAATTCTATTCTTGTCCACACATTCCGTAGAATCCATAATTTTTACTAATTTTTTAACCACACATTCCTCGAAACCCATTACTTAAAAGCACTTCAAAAATTTGGAGTTTTTATAGCATTACAGGGTTCTGGTTTTCTTGACATACACAAATTTGAGAGTTTTTTTCTTGTAAGAATGCCTCTGTTTCCTGTTTACAAAAAACAAGTTTTTTTTGTATACGAGAATAATTTTCCTTTTTGAGTGTGTATGTATAAATTTGAAATGTTTACTGACAGTAGTGTAAATATTGATTGTTTGTTCGAAAATATAATTACAGAATTAATTTCCTTTTTTGAGTGTAAATGTATAAATTTCAGTTGTAGTAGACAGTCTGCATAGACTGTTGAATTTTGATAGTTAAATCCTCTTCTTGAATTATGTGCTAATTTCATTCTACGTGATTTTTTTCCATATGATTATATAGGAGGAATAACCCATTAGTAAGAAATGGTTTATTTAATTGTAAAGGAATCAATATTCCTAATTGCCAATCAGGAAAACTACCTACCGTGAGATATTGAAAAAGCCCATCCAAAAGTTGAGGCTTCAGATATACACCACCAGTTATATAAGAAGCCTGCCGTAAAATATGCATCCTTAGAAATCAGCAGACCAATGTAAAGCTCATTACCATGAATGAAGGAAATTAGTGATATGATTAGCAGATTGTTATCAAAATGCTACCTGCTGGAGGAAAGCAGAGTGTTGAGCTCCCATTATGCACGAATCTATAGGCACCTGCAAGAAAAAATTGCATTTAATACAAACAATTCATGAAGAACCGCTTTAAGGATATTCTCTTATCAGATCAATGAACATTTTCCATAGCTTGCTAGACAGTTTCATTGGAAGAGATTGATAAAATTAGTTATATTACAGACAACTTGTAGTTTCTAGAATTAAGCTTATGTTTGTTGGTAGAACATTTCACTTCATAAATATACCAACTTTAGATGCACCTAAGCTATTGGTTCCGCCATTCTCTATCATAATTAATTAGCACATACATTTTTTTTAAATCTACGACCATCGCTCGTTTCAGAATGTTCAATGTGTATATGTATTATGTTTAAGCTGTTGGCAGCAGAACAGGCAATTAACACTACACTAATGCTTAACATGGCAAGGATAGACCTGGAGGGTGATTTGACTGCCATTATAAGAACTCTTGTGAGGGAGAAAAAACATCAGGTGGCTGCTGAAAGAGTGAAAGAGTCCCCAAACAACGGAAGGCTAGAAGAGGAAATAGTCAAGCCGATTCAGCTCAACGGAAATAAGGAGTTGGCAAAACGTGTGAAATTTGTTGCTGACGGTGCAGAGTGTAGAGATGATCCTTCTTTGGTCCAACAAGTCTTCTCATCCTAAGGTGAGGGTTTGATAAAATATCGAAATTACAAATGATGCAAAATCAGATATGCTTTAAGTGAAAAGCTATACCTGTTCTAATATCAGACTTGTGTTGCATAATTGAATTATTTCACTGTTCCACTCACATAAAATGTGTTTTACTTTGGTATGCAGATTGTTTGATATTTTATTAGTCATTGGTAGCAATGAACTTGAGCAGTGAGGCACAATACAGTCTGTAGTGTAGGATGATATGATGATGAATGTGGCTCTTCACATTGTAGCCACTTTGGATTTGCCAAGCTACGGGTCATGGTGACACAGGCAACGGCAAGGGGAGAGAAGGGGGAATATCATGTTAACTCCAGGCTCTTTTACTGAGGGGAAATATTGTAAGTATTGGGCCCCTATTGTATTTTTCGATATTGTCCAGTTTATTTCCAAAAAATGTCTCACAAGCTGAGAAAAGCAATTGGTCTTGTTGGAATCCGTGTCTAATTAGCAATCCAGTCACTTGTTCATATTGAAAATGTACTAATAAATAAAATTTATCACGAAATAAGAACAATTTTATCACATGTAGGTAGCATCAGAAATAATTAATTCTAAAGTATACAATTTACCATGGAGCGTTGAGCAGAGAAAATTGCATTCATGATTGAAACATATCTGCAAAGAAAACCTTTAGCCAAAAGCCGAGGGATGAAATAATAGCTGCTTCAAAACATATCTTAAATAACATACTGTCCAGGTCCATCTGGAGATCCATGCAAGCATAGAATCTGTCATTGTTGGGCAGTTCTTCATCAGTGATATACTATACAACATATCATATCAAGTGTTTGAATCTTAATATAACAAAACAGTGATCAGAAAGAGTGAATTACTGCAAACAAATGTCAATAGTATATCCTGCAAGGAAAAAAATACTTCTAACCATTTATAGGAAGATAAGTGGGATTAAATGATGACAAAACTTTAAGTACATGTTTATTGCAGCAAATTGCAAAGTGTTAACTTAAATTCATTTTTGTTTCTTCCAATTAACCTGAAGTGCCAAATAACTTAAATTCCAAATTTTATTCTGAAAACAAAAATTAATAATTGAACTTACTCGAGGCCGTGGATGAAGCGGCCCTGATCGAAACACCTTCTGTATATCTGATTTATTCATTCAAGTCATAACAAGCAATATTTCTGAACAATAATCCACTCATACATAATCAAACATTATACTTAGAGAGACAATAATGTTATAAGGTCTATTGTCTTATTAAAGGGAAAGGATACAGCAGAGAGCCATGGAGAGGGAGCCTGAAAGAAGAGAAAAGCCAGGGCCATCAACTGAGTCATCGCGGCACAGTGACTCGTCTTTGTCCACAAACTCCTCCAATTTCTGCAGCAGACTCTCCGCTTTTTGGTTATGATTGTGTAAAGCTGAGGAATCAAAAATGTAATCGCAGGAATTGTACCCTGTCGCAATCACTACAACTTGGTTTAGCCGATTTAACAAAAGTATTGAGTTCAAAAATGCCAGAACCTGTGGAGCGGAAATTTAATGTTCAATTATTTTCTTCAATTTAAAAAACGAAATATAAAAAATAATATGCGGAAATTAGAGAGGATGTGGTCTGAAAAGGAAATTACATTGGAGATGAACTTGGAGAAGGAAAGAGTTGAATTGATGGAGTTCCAGAAAAACGGGTTGGTTTCGATTAACACCATCAATAGGCTAACATCATCTGGAAAAATATCAAAGAAATTAGTTGGTACTCGAAAATTATACGCGCGTGTAGAGGGAGAAGAAGGGACCCGACCTGTGTAAAGCTTAGATGCAGCTGGAGTCATCTTCTTCGTTGTCGTTAACGTTAATAGGATTCCGGGACTCTACACTGGCTTTAAACCCAAGAGATTTTAGAAAATCAGTCGAAGTGATTACATATAAATAATATTTGGTTTTTGCATAAAGAGTAACATCTGACAGTTTGGCCGAGTGGTCTAAGGCGCCAGATTTAGGCTCTGGTCCGAAAGGGCGTGGGTTCAAATCCCACAGCTGTCATATTTATTCTTTTAATTTTTTTATTTTTTTTTTACTCTGTGAAAAATTCACAATATTGCTACATAGTTAAAAAGATGATTTTATTTTATTTTTTTCAGAAAAAAATTGTTAATCATGTTAGGTACCTTGTATATAACCAAATAAAGAATAAGAGAAGTAAAATTTTGTCGATTATCTTCTACGTCTATAATATACAAAGGGTGTGTTTGATCCACATTATTTTAAAAGAATGTATTCTGAAATAGTAGATTGATGGAGAATTTGTGGTTGAAAAAGAAGTAAAAGTTATTGATGTGATGGAAAATATTATTTTATTGAATAATGTGTGGTTGAAATGAGTAGAAGAATATGAATGAAAATTTTAATGTGTACCACACATGAGCAAAATGTATAATTATATTCATACAACAAATTTTGCTTTATAAGACAAATTATTATAAAAGAACAAAATTAATATTATCTATCAAAGCTAATGAGATATTCAAATTTGAGAAATTTATTGAAAAGACTTAACTTGCACAAACATTTCAAAAAATCGTCTCTACTGTATTATTCTTCAAGGAAATGAGATATACTAATTTGAGAAATTTATTCGATAGGACTTGACTTTCATATACATTTTGAAAAATGGTCTCTCAGCACAAATTTTTCAATTAATCTTCGGTGCATTTCCCTATTACATCTCCTATTGCATTTCTCTCGACTCTGCCCCGTCTATATTCCTTTCTTGCCCGCCAGTTCCATTAACAAGTTATTTTTCCTCTCTTTCGTCGCCTTCGTTGGTTTGTGTCGAACGAGAGATCAAATATGTATTAGTAGGGATCGATTTTGATCAACCTCAATAATGTAAGAATTATCGTTCCAAAGTTTTTAAGAAACCTATCAAAAGATTCAATTGAAAATGCTTTTGAAAATTCAAAAATTGCTTTCCAAATAGAGAAAGACGTCTTTTAACATGTCTAGATAATTTTTTTTTTGTCTTATTAAGAGAGAGTTGATCTAAAATAACTTTTCCATAAATTTCTTCTACGAGATGCAAAAATAGAAGCACGTGCCATGATCAACCTTAAAAAAAGATGACCAAAAGAAAAGAACTATAGAGGATAAAGTTGGTTTTTTGCTAATTCATGTGGAAATATTTTGGCCTTTTTCCATTATTTTTTAATATCCATAAAAACATTAGCTACTAAAGTTGCAGTTTATTCCTTGGGAAGAGCAAAAACCAAATTCCAAAACCATAACCCCTCCTCCTCCTCCTCGAACTCCGAGCATCATCTCTCGGTAGGTAACCAAATATTTGTGTTCTTTATTTCGTGTGGTAAAAAGAGGTGAAAGAAAAGAGAGAGGTGTTAATCGTTATGGCGAATCAATCTGATTCTCCTCCAGATTCTGTAGTTGAAAAGCCCCAAAATCCAGGTTAGTTTTCTCTTTAAAATTCTATATTTATTGCTGAATTGAAGTTTTCATTTTTATGAGTTCAGTAATCTGAAATTTAATTAAGCAAGAATAATCGGATTTCTGACTCAATTAGTGAACCATATATGTTTGGCTACGTTCAAACTGCTTGGATAAGCACGCTTACTTTACTCTACTTTAAAGATGATTAACTTGTTTACTTATAAATAAAATTACTTGTTTACTTATAAGTAACGGGTTTGAGCTTAGACAAACATGCTGAGATTTGTAGAAGAAATTTCTAATTACTTCAGTGTACTGTATGTCAATGAGCAATACATGATTTGCTGATTTCACAGATTACATGTATTTTCAGAGTATAATTTGACCCCTTTCCTTGTATAACTGGTGTGGAACGCAATGAACAACGAACGAGAGTGAGAAATAATCTAAACATGGAAAGTAGTCATATAATGATCCAATAGGATTCCCCTCGGTAACCCAATAAGTATTTATAGCATTTTAGCTTCTTTTTTTCTCTGTTGATTGATCCAAGGGAACCTACACATAAAGTTCACTGTAATTCTATCGTTTGGTGTTTATTCGAAGCTCTACAATGGAAAAAAAATTGGAAATAATATTATTGAGTCTATGTAGACATACATAAAGCGGAATTTTTTAGGTCAGGTTAAAACTAGTTGAAATTTTGAGCCAAAGCATGTTTGGAATTGGAAAGGTTACCTTCTTCTATTCTTGCATTATTAGTTTTAATAACAATGACAGAAACAATTGATAATGTTGAATTTGAGCGTGAATCAATGACGGAAACAATTGATAATTTTGAATTTGTGTGTGACTTTTGTTATGATCTCACAGAAATGATGAAATGATTTAATTGGGAAATTTGAAATCATGAACCAAGTTGAATGTTATCCCCAGTTATAAATTAAATGCCTCTTAGAAGGCATTGATCGTATGAATCAAGCTCGAAGCATGATGTGCTGGTTTTGGATTATTCTTAATGTTTATTCTGGATACAGTTTCATGTTGATATCAGATTACTTTTATTGGTCAAATCTTAAGATGATATCTGAGTGAACCAGTTGCCAGTTACATTTTCAATTTATGGTCTTTAGGTCTCACAGATATTAAGTTTCTTCACATTTGACTTTAATTTGCTTCAAAATATTTTGTTCCTGATGAATGATTCCGCCCTTCGTTTTTCTCTGTCTTTCTGAGGCAAGCACTGATCTAGAGAGGTGCTTTGTCACTATAGTTTTATGCACTAATCTTTCCCTCCCTCTTCATGGATTTGCTTGTGTCAATATCTGGCTATCAATGATAATAGTTTTCAATTTAAACTATAGTTTCAGAGGTTACACAAGCAGCAGTTGACGATCTTCAAAATGCCAAGGTAGAGGCTGCAAAGGAGACTTCTCCACCTTCTGTATTTGTGAACTCGGAACCAATCAGAATGGATCAAGTGCAAAATGCTGTAAAGTTTCTTTCGCATCCTAAAGTTAGGGGATCTCCAGTAATGTATAGAAGATCATTTCTTGAAAGGAAGGGACTCACGAAAGAGGAGATAGATGAAGCCTTCCGGCGTGTTCCAGTAAGTAACCCTTCCCCATTCCAGCTCCCGGGTAAACAAATTATGTGAAGCCGCACATTAAATCTTTATATGTATGCATCTATTGTCAGAAGGGTGATTATGAGAGGGAAAGGTAAGTTTATGGCCTTACTGGTTTCTGTAAATTACAGGATCCTACCCCATCTGTTACAGCCTCTGAGTCGGTTGTCACCAATCAAGGTAACAAATTTAATTGTTTGACTAAGATTCTCAGCCTGTCTTAACGATTTGAATTTTGACCTGCCTATTATATTCCTATCTCTCCGCTGCCACATTATTAGCAGATGGGCAACTAAAATCTTCATCAAACATTCAATCGCAATCCCCAACACAAACTCTGCAGCCTGGACCAGTTGCGCCTGCAGGAAGCATTTCAAGAATGGGAACTTTCTCTCGATTCCACTGGTCTCATGCTCTTCTAGCTGTAGGGTTCCTTTCTGTTTCAGGAGCTGGAACAGCTGTGCTTTTCAAGGTATAATTTTGAAAACCTTGAATTTAACAAGAAACGTAGTCATTTGCTACTGTTACCCTTTCACGAGGAAATAACTTGCATCCCAATGGTATAACATTCCCAATATAATCTCATAATTATGCGCCACATGCTTGTGTCAGAATTCAATCATTCCAAGGTTGAAAGCTTGGGTACGCAAGGTTGTGTTGGAAGTAGAAGAAGGAGAAGAGGATCTGCTTAAGAAAGAAAACACAAAAAAAAGTTTGGTAGAAGAAGCTGCTGCAGCTGCTGCAGCTGCAGCTGCCGCAGCTTCTGATGTAGCCCGTACAAGCCAGGAGATGTTAATGTCAAAAACTGAAGGTTGGTTCTTAATGGATTCCAGCCGATGTATCCTGGACGACTTGTCCAACTATTACCGTTTTGCCCTGTTTCCTATTCTGTAGTGTTTTAATTGATCTTGCTACTAGTGACTCTCAAGTAGTAACCATGTTTGGCATATTCACATTCTTTGCAGAGAAGAGATTCTTTGAGGATCTAATCAGTTTGTTAAATGCACAAGTTCGTGAGATGAAGTCAATGAGTAATACCATACAGAAACTGGAAGGTTAGTTAAAAAAAGGTTTCTCTCTCCATGATTCTGAAATTATTGTTTATTTGGGTTTTCTCCCCTTACTTGGAAATGAATTATTTTATTTTATTGCTTACTTAAAATAAAGTAGCGTGCAGATGTGTAGACAGTTATCAAGAACTAGCAGGATTTGTCACTTGAGAGCTTGATTCCATTTTCAGTGGTCTTTCTGTCGTTTTTTTTTTTCAGTATTCTTTGCAAATAGGAATTGACCTCAATATAGTTGACATCAACTTTTTCTTCAAAGGCCTTTCATGTTTCTATCAATTGGCTATGTAACAAGAGTGAAGCATATGATACTTAGCTCCACACCAGTATTGAGCAACTTCTTTCCAACTCATCAAGTGCTGTTTCTTCATGGACCATGTATTCTGAGCACATGTTCATCATGACCCTTATTTTTCTTTTTGAAACTTCGTGATTCTGATTAGCTCTCTCACTCTCTTCATGTTTCAATCGAAAAGAAAATAATTTGAATGCCTTTTGACAAACTTTCTTTTTTGCGATTGGAATAACTATTTGATTTGAATTGGTGATTAACTTAAATTAATTAACAAAAATAAGAGATGAAGTCCCTGTGCGAGGGACAGTTGGCATCTTCTTTTCTGGATACAGAGTGAGCTGCTTTATGCTTGTGTGGAGGCAGTGGAGCTAAGTAATAGTGACTGAAGCCAAGAGCCCGTAT